AAAGGTAAAGATAAAGACTTCAAAGTAGAATTCCACTAAGTGCTCAAGAAAATTCATGACCAGGAGATTGATTGTAAAAGTAGATCAATGTAGATGATCTTGGTAAGAGCAATTTCATAAGGGGTAGGAGGGCAATCCAATGCTGTGGGCAAAGGACATGGGGGGAGGTTAGTAGGAAAAAATGTAGACAAATTCTATAAAAAATTTTGAATGTGAATGGGAAGAGGGAGAAAACTTTAGGGGGAAAGAGGGTAAGAAGTCTACTTGAGAAAGTTTAATTGCTGTTGGAAAGGGGAAAGAGAAATATTGAGAAATTGAGATTGAACATACAAGATACTAAAGTGGGAGAAATGAGTAATTATTAGGTTGCAATCATGGGAAGGGCAGGAGGTGATGGAATTCACAACACAGTTTAAATGTTCCCTTTCCTTGTGCAGAGGAGGAGTGAAGTCACAGGTGAGCCTGGTGTTAGGAGAGGAGAAGGTTGCTAAGTAATGATGGCTTTTGCCTTCTCTGTTATGTAAATGGTGATCCAGCTGGTGGGAGAGTGAGGGAGAGTGTGTCACTGAAGGATTCAGACAGTTCAGAGGATTTGAAACCACTGCTGTGATGAGTCGAGAGAGCAACTGTGGGAACAGGAGGGCTGGAGGGCAGCCTGAGTGAAGTTGGACACCACATCTTCCTTGTGATGCCAACCTTTACAGCTGTGTGTGTGTGTTCCCACAGGATCCTGGGTGCAAGCTCAGAGAACGTGGGTGAGCAACTCCAGTCCTCACTCCCATCCAGGGAGGGGAGATTTTGAAGGATGTTGTGGCAGAAAAGGACCAGTGCAGGAGAGTTGGAGGTCTTGGCAAGGAAATGGGTGAAGTGATAGTCTTGGAACTCCAGTAAGCCATGGAAAGAAGTCAAGGCAGTGGGGGACGGGGACGGGGACGACTGAGAAGGAGCAAGTAGGAGACGGTGCTGGTTTGAACAGCAGATGTAATGGGAGAACTGAGTTTTGGAGCTGGTGGCCTGCTGGCTTTCAGAGATGGAGCACCTTAAGGGAGATCAGATCCAGTGAGGTGCCTCGGGACCAGGGGACCGGAGCTGAGGGGAGGGTGCACTAGGCTGGCTCAGAGGGGTCCACGGACTTTGAGGTCCAGGAGAGTTCTTCCTGGCTGCACTGAGATGTCTTGGCCTGGACGTGGCTTCAGGAAAACCTTCATTCTGATCTGAGATTGACTTGGGAGTAAGAGAACTTCCTCGGGCTTCTCTTCTGATTATAGTTGTTAGAAAATGAAAAAGGAGCCCCAGAGTCAAGCTTAAGGCTTTCTTTCTCTATTCTGGGTAGTCTAATATCAACCTTGAATGATTTCTGAATATGAAAAACAACAACAACAAACAAACCCACGCCAGTTTCCATTCTTAGAAGGAAAAAAACTTCACTGGGTCAAATAAGAAGATACAACACAATGTCCAGTGATTTCACAGGAGGCAAAGATGGCAGCTGAGCCCTTTGAAAGATGGAGGGAGTTTGTTTTCCAGTGAAAGGGAGATCCCTGTTTATAGATGGAAGATAGTATTTTTTTTTCACTCTAATTAGGCCAGGGTTAATAAGCAAAATATTTTTTAAAGAGTGAGAACTTGGAGTTCTTTGAAGTTGGGGGGTGGGCAAGTCTTTACTTTTTACTTTGTACATTTGTACAATAAAATTATTTATTTATTTACTTATATGTGGTGCTGAGAATCGAACCCTCTGCCTCACACTTGCTGGGCGAGCACTCTACCACTGAGCCACAGCCCCAGACTCAATTAAATTATTTTTATAGTTAACAATTACCACTTTTATACTAGTCGAGTAACAGGTCACAGTTAAAATTCAGGTGCTTTAAAAATATTGTATAAAATGATTTTGGGGCTATATGTATAAGGTGTATGTGAAACAAATAAAATTTGTGTTTAGACTTTGGCTCCATCCTTCATGATATCTCTTTACGTATGTGCAGATATTCTGGAACATGAAAAAAATAAAAAAAATCTGAAACCCTTCTTGTCCCAAGCAATTTGGATAAGAGATTCTTGACCGGTAATAAGATATTTTTATTAAAAACTAATAGATGAAAAGAAAAGACAGGAAGGGAGGGCAGGGCGGGGTGGGGGCGGGGAGAAGGAAAGGCGGGGAAAACCAGAGCAAAGGGAAGTGCCAGGCGAGATAGCAACAGGAAATGAGGGGAGGAATGAGAGCAGGAGGTGAGCCGCAGGCAGTTAGGAAGACCAGATGGCCCCAGGAGAATGACCCCAGGCACAGGTTCTGGATATATGCAGTGTTTCCCAACCTTGGCTGTGCATTAGAAGCACCTAGGGAGATGGGACACTTCCTGATGCCTGGATTGCACCCTGGTCTGGTGAAATCAGAGTGCTTGGGGCAGGAGCAAGCAGCAGTGGTGTTTGGTGATCCCTAGGTGGGTCCATTGTGAAAAAGCAGGTCTAAAATGAGTACACACACACACACAATTTCTGGGGACAGAAATTTCTCTTGTGGGTTTATCAAAGGGAACATATGGAGGTACAGGGGCATCTCTTTAACAAGCAAAGTTCCCCGGGGTGTGTGTGTGTGTGTGTGTGTGTGTGTACTCATTTTAGACTTGCTTTTTCACTATCCTGACTTTCTCCTTATTGCCTTATTCCTCTGGAGAGTGTTTCTGATGCTGGCAGGAGCTCTCTTCAGTGCAATTTGGACTCTGGGCTAAATCGCATGGGCTCTGGGAATCAGATGGGTGAGGCGGGATTCAGGCAAACAGCTCTCTGGGGGAACTGGTTTGGTCAAGGGGTAGAATTTAATGATTCTAGAATAGTGGTTTTCAAACTTGGTCCTGAGAAGCCAATTGACCTTGTGAGGGGGTCAGCAGTCACAAATGGAGGGGACGTGGGCAGAACTAAGGAAGTCCCAATAAGCTGGGTCTACCCTGTCCCAAACTACTCTAGTTACACTGCTTCATATATTGGGCTTCAAGTAAGGCAAGAGTGGTGTGTGTGTGGGGATAGAGATCGAGGCAGATACTGAGGGAATAAGAATCATTGATGTGGAGAGAGCAGGGATTGGCCAATTGTGGCCCTGGCACTTAGAATAATTTTTTTTTTTACTTTTAAATGATTGGGAAAAAAATTATGACATGAAAATTATATGAGATTCAAATTTCAGCATCCATAAATAGAGTTTTATTGAAGCACAGCCACACCATTTATTTACGTCTTGTCTATGGCTGCTTTGTAGCTGAGCTGAGCAGCTGGGTTAAGGTCTATACGGCCAGCAAAACCTTAGATATTTACTACATGGCCCTTCATGGAAAATGTTTTCCACTTTTAAAAGAAGCAATGGAAGTTCCCGTGTGTGTGTGTGTGTGTGTGTGTGTGTGTGTGTGTGTACTCATTTTAGACCTGCTTTTTCACTATCCTGACTTTCTCCTTATTGCCTTGGGAGGTGAATGTGTACCATTCTCTTTCCCCCCTTTAAATAGACTATTTTTTAGAGCAGCATTAGTTCTCAGCAAAATTAAGCAGAAAGTACAGAGATTCCACATCTCCCCTGATCCCACGGACACACAGTGTTCCCCACTATCAACACCTCCCACCAGATGGCACATGTGTTACATGAAGGAGCCTTCATTGGCAAGTCGTCATCACCCAAAGTCCAGCATTTGCATTAAGTTGTACATTCCATAGGTTTGGGCCAATACACAATGATGTGCATTCCATTATATCATCCAGAAGAGATTCCCTGCCCCCAACATCTTCTGTGTCTGCCTATTTATCCTACTTTCCTCTAATACCTGTCATTTCTTGATCTTTTTACTCTCTCCATAATTTTACCTCTTTCAAAAATTCTATATAGTTACAGTATGTAGCCTTTAAAGATTGGCTTCTTTCAATTGGCAGTAGGCATTTAGAGTTCTTCCCTATCATCCTTTTTGGCATATGATTAAGGACTGGGCCATGCAGGGATAGGTCCTGAATATCAATTTCTAAGGGCTGCTAACAAGATGGAGAAAATGGTCTTGTCCATAAATCCTCTTGGGGAGAGTACTGTGTAAGGGGTAGGATGTGAGGCCCCCCAGAGTCCAAGGATAGAAGATGCTCATGAACTCCACTTGGAGCATGCAGCTCCCTGCAGGGTGGGGGTTCTGCCAGTAGGATTGGAACTAGAGTGGAATTGCCAGGGAAGAAAGCACAGTGTCTACATAGCAGCTCCCCCTTTTTGTTTTCCCACATAATAGTAGCCATTGCTCCAGTACCTGAAGAATGTAAGGAGTATTTGTTTATAAAAGGTGCCAAATTATTATTACCCTCCCTGGAGTATCCACATGTCTTGGAATAGCCCAAGAGATACATAATTATTAGCACTGTTTAAAACAAGGACCACGACCTTGGAAAATGGAATTTTTAAAAAATATTTAATTAATTTTTATTTTTAAATACACGACAGTGGATTGCATTACAATTCTTGTTACACATATAGAGCACAATTTTTCATATCTCTGTTTGCCTATAAATTATGTTCACACCAATTCATGTCTTCATATGTGTTCTTTTCCCAGTCCCTATCTGGGCTGTCACTTCATGTTTTGGTGGCTTTTTTCTTTTTTGAATGGTTGGAAATACATCATTTGTGTCATCCAGCTGAACAACATCTTTGAATATTTTAATGTAGTTTAAACAACTGAATCTACCAGAAGTGTATGTTTTCATCAAGTGGCCTTTTGTTTCATAATGTTGTCCTTGTCAAAAAGTTAGCGTGGGGGCTGGGGAGAAAGAGAAAGAAGAGCAAGAGAAAAGTCATGTTTCTAGCTGATGCTGATCCTGTACCTCATGATCATGTTTACCTATGACTTCTGCTCAATCACCTTTACCGAAAGTCTGCTGTATTCATGGCGTGGCAATGGGTAAATAAGGCGGGGTGCTCTTGGCACTTAGGTAGTGGAAAACTTGTTTCATTTGTTCCTTCTTGCCTTGTCCCACAGGTCCAGTTGAATCCAGAACCTGGTGTTAGGAACCGCGAACTTTCTTTTCTGAATGCCACCTTGGATTCTGGCTTGCTCCATCAGAGCTCCAGGCTGACCCCTGTCCCTGCACAGAGAACCCTGGAACCAAGGAGCCGGAGGATCCGGGGCAGGAGGTTCAAGGTGCGTTCTCTGGAGTTCCCTGAGCCCAGTGGGGCATCAGACAGCTCTAGCGCCACTTCATGGAAAAGCCCTGGTTGGTCATCCCCCGCCAGCAGCTCTGTCACAAGCACCCAGCTTCATCCTCCACTTGAGCCCAGGGTCAGAATGAAGGTCCTCCAGGAAAACAGCCTTCAGAAGCTGGAGGCAGAGACCAATGTTGACACGGGCTTCACCATCATCAATTCTGAGCCGAGGCAATCTTTTCTGAGCAGATTTCCAAGGGATTTGTGGATTACCCAGCCATCATCCTGCTTGCCAGACTCTTCTTTAGAGGGGGCTACCTCTAAAAACAAGGGCATTCTTAGGGAAAGAATCCATCCCTTGTCACTTGCTAGCCAAGGGGACTTTGGTACAAGGAAGATAATCTCAAGATGTTCCCTTCATCTGCCAGTCCAAGGAGGAGAAAAAGAAGAAGAATTCTTTATATAGCATAAAACAAATGTGTTGTTTAAAAATACAAAATCAGATAGAACGTTCTAGAAATGGATCACTGACCCAGAATTGTCTTGTTTCTTGTTCATCTGAGGGCACCTGCATGCTATCCACATACAGATCTGTATTGCTTTCATTTCAAATGTTCAGCTTCTGCAGGTTTCAGGAGTGATTGTTGGTTTGCTGTCCCAGTCATAAAGGAACACAGACAAGTACAGGGAGAAAGCTGGATGCTCATGATCCCTGGAGGCTCACTGACCCAGCTGCCTGTGTTGAGTTCAGCAATTATCAGGATAACTGCATTGTATGCAAATGAATCGGAAATGTTATGCAAAGCTGATTAGTGTATGTAATTTGGTTTTAATTTTTTCTTGAGTTACATAGCTCATCTCCCTGGATAGCATGGACTATTTATTCTTTAGTGCTTTTTAATTTTTATGTGACCTCCTTTGGTAACTAGGCCCTTGTTCACCACATACCCTCTTGTGATTTTGCCTTTAAAGTTATTTGCATCTGGAATGAGTGAATATGCAAAGTATTTTGAAAATTACAAGCAACATTTCCCCTCTCTTTAATGAGCAGAAACCCTGGAAGTTAGAAAAATCAGGTTAAAAATCAATGCTAGATGCTAAGGTTTTCCTGGTCTTTGGAGTATCATTTGTTTTTGCCCTACTCTGAAGAGGTCAGCTGCTTGGTTTTTTTTTTTTTTTTTAAACAAACCAAGGAAGACATAGGATTATTGGATAATTTGAGATCTCCATGGAGCAAGGTGGGAAGATTGGATTGGCTGGGTCACTGGAGCAGAACTTTGTTGTTTCTGGCCATTTTTTAATCCTCAAAGTCCTTTATGATACACATCATTCATTTATATATTCACTCCACAAATATTTATTGAACACTGTGTTTGAATAAGACATCATATATCTGGTACATACACATTCTGTGACCATCAAGCCCCCAAAGTGGTTATAAACCCATTCTACCAGCTCTTAGAAAGATGTTGATATCCAAACCTGCTCCTCCAAGAGCTTCTCTCACAATCGAGGCACACACTTGCCACACAAATTTGTAGTAAGTATTCACAACTTGCGGATGGAGACTGGGAATATTGTGAATTGCAATTATAATTCCAAAGGAAAAGCTCTCCATTGCTTATGTGCTGGGTTATTTGTGTTAAGGTTTGTGCACGTCTAAAAAAAATCTGGGATTTTGTATTTTAGTTAATTTATAGGGTTATTTGGCTCTATGAACTTCATTTTCCAGGATGGATATTACATAAGAATATAAATATTGATTTTTTTTCAGTGCAGGATATCAAACCCAGGTCCTTGCCCATGCAAGGCAAGCACTCTGTCACTGAGCTACATCCCCAGGCGTGAGCTGGATCTTTTAAAGTCCTCGAAACTCAGTACACTCAACTTGAGAGAAAGATGAGCTCAGGCCTAACCCCCCAAAACAGTAGAAGCCTGGACAGTTGAAAATGGTCAAAACCAAGACTTTTAAGTGGACTTTTTCTGTCTTTAAGGTGTCAGTGTACTGCCTCATTCTCATGATCTCTCTTCTCCAGATTAAAATTTTATCTTAGAAAATAGAATGAAGAACTTCATTTTGGTATTGATATATCATGAGTTTTTTTTCCTTTTGAAAGTCTTATACTAGTTGAGCTATTGAGCTACCATGAGAAACATAGCAGGGAGAAGTTTTAAAACTTCCTTCCCACTTTTTTCCCCCCTGAAATTATTTAAATTTCTTTAATATAATACATGGGTAAGAATATAAGTACATGGAAATGATAAAGAATATTTAGAAATTTGAATGGGTACCTAACAAAATTGGCTTGTAAAATAATAAATTCTTAAGAGAACATCTACTCTATTCTGCTTAGTGTAGGATCTAATTTATGGAATGATGGGGGTGGAAATACCAGTAGATCAGGTTGCAGATGGGCAGATTTTAAACTTCCTATTTATGAGACCTTGAACATGTCAGGTTCATTGATCCTTTAGTGCTTTATCTATTGTAACAAAAGCTGTTTGGAGAATTGAGATGATGTATATGAGAGCATTAAGATGTCAGTAGCCCCTATAAATGTGTTTTTTTGTTATTATATTTTATTTTATATTATATTGTGTATGATATTATTAATACAATTGATTGGTCCTTTATACCCACAGTTTAAAAATCTCATAAGAACAATTTTTAAAAAAAAAAAATCAGGCAGTTTTTAGTAAAATCAGTGAGTCAATAAAAAGGAAATTTACCTTTCTAAGGTTTTTACTACATGCGTGATTTATTTTTTAATCCGTCTCCTATAGGAGGATTATGTATAGCAAATAATCAACTATATCCTAGAGTTCAGTAGAGATGGTATGCAATAAGACTAGGCCGTGGACTAACTTAATTCAATTCAACAAATTAGTCAGACCTGCCTGTAATTATGCTTCTTCCCTAAAATGTAAAATATATCATTTTTAAAATGAGAGAGTTACCTAATCCGAATATTCTATTTTTCTTTTCAGGTAAATTAACAAACAGTGGCAGCAGTTTTCTTGCTACTTTTAACCTTATTAAAAGTATTTCACTGTTTTTTTGCAAGTATCTTCCGGACATTACTAGACATGAACAGAAATAATAACATTTGGAAATTTGCAAACATATTGGTAGGTTGGGAGAAGTAGGTGGGAGGAGATAAGACTCAAAGGATGGTCACACTTTGATTCATGCAAGGAGATGGGGCTGTGTCAGCAGCAGTGGCCATCTGCTGTCTCCCAGGCAGCTCTGTAAAGGTCTGGTCTTTCTACCACACCTCAAGGACCCTCTGGGCTGTGCACCTGTGCCTGAAGGAGGAGCTGGTGGGATGCCCCTTTCTTCCCTCCCAGAGAATGGGGAAGGGAGATGCAAGAGAATGGAGCCCCAAGCACACACCCCACTTTCTGTGGATTAAAAACGCGTACAGTTTATATCATGTGATCCAACATCTTCAGAAATACGGTCTGACTTTCCACAGTCTTCTCCACGTCCTCATGCATTGGGCTCCTCCCCACACTTTCCTTCCTTTCTTTCCTTCCCACCCTCCCTCTCCTCCTCTTTCTTTTTGTGTGTGAATTTGGTGTTCCATTCTTCACTCTTGTTTTAAAACACTCTCTTTGCTGGGTCTCCTGGATTCCTTCAAACGGATGACATGTGGTTGCAACTTCTAAAGGCCTCCTTGACTGAGCTCAGAGGGAACAGGAAGAGAAGGCATGCTTTGAGGAAACTCCCTGTTCCAGTTCATCCCCCGAATTCTGCTCAGTGCTGACTACACCCACATCTGGTGGAAGCAAACCAACCTCCCCTCCCACGGTGCTCTCCTGCTCAGTGCTGACTACACCCACATCTGGTGGAAGCAAACCAACCTCCCCTCCCACGGTGCTCTCCTTTCACCCCCACCAAAACTTTCTCTGAGGCTTGAGATGTTTCTTCTCACAATTGGAGATAAGAATAGCTGCACATGGCTCTCAGGGCACATTATTAGGGTTTTTGTTATTAAAAAGTCGATTTAAATTTTATTTCTAAATATACCATCTAAAAAGTATTATTATTCCAGAGAATCTGCCTTGGCTGTTGAAGACACAACAAGGTCTCTGCTTAGCAGAGGAGGAAAGTTCTGTTTCCAAATCCCCACCTCTGACACAGACGTTTCTGGGGTATTTCTTTTAAGAACAATAATTCTAAACAGGGATAATACTAAATCCGAGCTGACAGTGAGGCTGGCCCGTGGGACATGTCCCTTTGCAAGGGAGTCTCCTGAACATGTTGATGTTCATGACAGTCCTGTGAGGAAGGCTGTGGTTGTCCCCATCATATATATGAAGAAATGGAAGTGCAGAGAGGTAGAGAGCCCCATTCAGAGCTGCACAGGAGCAAGCAACACAAAAGAGATTGTTAGAGTCTGTAAACAAGTCAGGATGGCACCTGGCATTTTGCCAGAGGGAGTGGTTTGAGAAGTAACACCAGCGAGCCATTAAGTGTGGCGATTCTTATTGGTTGACTGCTGTATCGAGTTTATGTTAATTAAGATAAACTGTGTGGAATGTATGAATACCTCTGTTGTCCTACAATAAACGGCTCCCACTCCTGCTGTATCAATTGTATCAATCTACACAAGTTGCTCATCATGCGCCCCCCTCCCTTATTTTGCTGCAGCCGGACTTCGGCAAGAGATGAGAAGAGGCTGTCAGCTGTCAGGCTGCAGCCTGTGCCTCCAGCCACTCTCCTTAGGAAGGGTGTCAGAAGAGGCGTCTCAGCTCAGCAGGGTGTCCACACTGCTTCCACCCCCTGCCTGAACAACTGGCGCACTACTCTGCTGCTTCAAGCATAGGGCTCCTTCTTGTCGTTTAGCTCCAGGTTAAAATCCCTCCACAGGGGCTTGTCCGGCAGATGTCTGCGCCCAGCACCAACCCCTCCCAGTGCTGGGGCCAGAGAGGTGCTTCTATGAAAATTCTGTTCAAAGAATACACAGCAAGGGGTGGAAATGTAGCATTCCGCTTCTCCTTCATACTGGGATTGAACCCAGGGGTGCTGAACCCCCAAGCCACATCCTGAGGCCTTTTTATTTGTGATTTGGGGACAGGGCCTCCATAAATTGCTAAGCCTGGTTTTGAATTTGCAATTTTCCTGCCTCAGCCTTCAGAGCTGCTGGGATTAAAGGCATGTGCCACCACAACTGGCAATTACATTCATTTTTAGATCATAAAATAAAGAAATATTTTTAACAAACAGTTGAGACATCATATAACTGACTTTAAGGGAAGTAAAGAAAATTAATAAATATTTTATTCACTTAATTTTTTTTAAAAAAAGCTATTTACTGAAACTGGGAGTTACAAACATGCCCCACCTCACCTGGCTGGTGTTTTCCCTCCATTGCTCGGGCTGCTGCGCTCTACTGAAACGCGCTCTCCAGGCTCAGGCCTCTCCATCTATTCCACAAGCCTGTTGCCAGACGCCAAGGTGGC